AATAAAAACAGGCCTAGGCATCCTATTATGGCCCAAAAATGGTACAATAGGAGCCATGAAGTCAACACACCAGGCTGGTTGAAAATTTAAACAATGAATTTTGAACTTTTAAAGATATAACTGAATTGAAAGATGGAATGACTGTAACAAGTAGTAAGAAAAGGACAGTTTTCAACTGTCTAGGGCAAAATATGAGCATTTTGCAGTTGATTTTGAATTTTTATTTTTATTTGCAAATCAGAAAAAAAGTGAAGCGGCGAATCCGTTAACAGTGTTCGAAATACCCGTCTGCAGTCTGCAATTTGCAGATAGATTTTCAAGATTGCAGAAGAGAAAATCTTACAATCTGCAATTTTTCAGAAGGAAAAAATAGGCTCCGGATTCAATAGTTTCCAATTAGCAAAGCAGTGGCGCTGTGAATAGATCGAAACCTGCGCCGCGCGAACCTGCCGGCGTTTTCCAGCAGACTGTAATGGCCCCATATAAGGGAATTTGGGGTCAAAGTTGAACGATTTCGACAAGGCGACGAAAGGCGACGATAACCAAATATGGGCACTCGCCATTTTCCGATGTTAGATTTCGTCTCCCGGGAGGACCCGACAACTGCCTCGGCAATTTTCGGCAGTTTTCGCTGAGCATTTCCCAGCAGGCAACACGGCAAAGGAAACATGGCTCCACGAAAAACCACACTCGCCTCGGCGTTAATTTGCCGAAATTTCGATGTTTTTCCTTGGTATTTTGCACGATTCAAGCAAAGAAACAAGTTGATCACATGAACAAAAGAGAAATACAGCACTGGGAACCTAATGGTCCGTTTTGTTGGGCGGTAATTTCTCATTTCGAGTGAAAATTTACGTGCATCACATTGTGACCATATGGTGTAAAATCAGTGATTTTCGGCTCGATCCGAACCAAGCACGGCCCGGAGACTTGTCCTTTATGATTTCTAGATGACTATCGGTACCAAAATACGGGAAAATATTGTTGCAAAATGAGAGAGACGGAGACTAAGGTAAACTTCTTTTATTTGAAGGCTGGATTTTCATTTTCCTGGCAGGCTTCTTTGTATGTAGTGATCATCAGTTATTCAGTAACAACAAATATGGATTTTTGTTCCGGTCAAAAAAACCGGTCCACCGACGTTTCGGTTTTTTGGACCGGACCGAGAAAATTCTACGGTCCGAACATATTTAAAAGAGTGATATTTTGAAGAATTTCAGTAATGCTACAGATTTACAAAGCTATACCGTTATATATGTATGATGTAAAAATCATCCTCCTTCGCAGGGCTAAAATCCTCCGGTTCCTTCCTTCGGGTTTTAGCCCTGCTATTTACCGCTGACAGTTTGACTTTTGGTGACGTCACCGCCAAACTGCTGTCAGCCAATCAGAGAATTTGCGCACCGAGCTTTGCGCAAAAACCGCAAAGGTCGCTGGGAACCTATTAGCCAATCAGGTTACGTCTTACATTCCCATGTTGGGACAGGCCAAGATGGCGGCTATTACAGATACTAGAAGTTTCGTGCGAGCCGTGCAAGATTTATTTGGAGTTGAGCGGCTTCGTGAGCATCAGCAGTCGACGCTACGGGCGCTGCTTGATGGCAGGGACGTTTTTCTGAGTGTGCGGACAGGAGGAGGGAAGAGCCTGTGCTATATGGGCTTCCCAGCAGCGGCCAAAGCCCTGGCCAAAGCCGAGACAGAGTTAGGGCAAGCCCCCCCGACATCCGTCTTGGCCAGCCGGTTAAGTTTTGCAAAGCACTCGCGGGCAGATGGCGCTTGACAGCCCTTTCCTCGTCCAGACTTTTTTGTCAGGTGTCACGTGCAAAATCTGCCGGATCTGTGCGTGAAGGGAGGTCACGTGAACTGAAAACAGCGAGCGGTAACTTTTTGGAACGACCCCCTTCCCACAAAACAAGCAAATCTTGGTTCCTCCCCCCTCAGCACGCTCCATGCTTCTCTGTTGTTGTTATTCTACCGCGCCGCCATTTTGTAAAGTTGTAATCTTGGCGCTGATTGGTTTGTGCCAAATAAGGCAAGCTCATGAATTATTTATAAGTGACGTCACCAAAAGTCAAACTGTCAGCGGTAAATAGCAGGGCTAAAACCCGAAGGAAGGAACCGGAGGATTTTAGCCCTGCGAAGGAGGATGGTAAAAATAGGCATTATTGGTTTCAGAAGGTTGTATTATGGGGGCTTGTGTATTTGCAGAAAGTATTTCAAAATTGCAGGACGAAATTTTGACTCTTCTGCAATATTGCAGAGCACTGAAAAAAAGTATTTCGACCACTGGTTAACCAAGAAATTAAATTGGTGTGGCCTAAGGGCAGTAAGTAAGTAAGTAACAAACTAGTAAGTACTAGTAAGTAGCTGTCGCCACTTGACAGTTACAAGTGCCAACTTACCGTGGAAGAGGAAGAGGCCAATGAGGTTGATAAACAGTCCCGCTCCACCCACAATCAGGATCAGTATTGGGTTGGTGATCTCCTCAATTTCTGTAAACAAACAAATAACATAAATCAACATAAATCAACCAACACCTACACTACTGTGACCAAGATTTAACTTAAACCAGGTGCAGGTACATGTAGATAAAGATAAGGAAAATAATGCAACAAAATGCATATTTTTCAATCAGGTTTAAATGTATCTTAACATGGTCTATGTAGTCCAACAAACTACTGCTCTTACTGGTAAATCTTACTCAAACACAATCATTCATAATATATTCGTTGTACTATGTGCATGGTGGCCAGCCCCTCCAATTCTGTCTTGCTACATAATGTAACCCATCATCACAGGTGTCTGCTACAGCACCAGTTACCATGGTGACAGACCTCTAGTTAAG